TGTCTCCTTAGTGAAGATAATAATAATAATGATAACGATAATGTCACGTGAATATATTATGTATCAAAGGAAGTGCTATCAAGATAATTACAATAAGAAATTCATATGAATCAGAAAAGATGAATGTGTAGAAAAAAAGACAAGGCATGGTGAATGTAAATTCAAAAGGAATTGGAGAAGGGTATGATGTTTATAAAAATCCAGTTTAGGTATATAGTAATTCAGTCAAGGACCAGATTAAACATAAATGCTTAACATGCCTCTTTTGGATACATAAGGTTGGTTTTACAGAGTTGATTCAGATGGCTTTAGTTATGTAGGAGATTGGTAATTTATATCCTTTAGGTAGATTGTTTAGAACTTGACACAAAACAGAAAAAGCATGGTTTATTTTAGTATGATGTTCACTGATGTCAAATTTTTTTAAATTGTGAAACTTTTTTTTAATTAACATAGTATGAATGGATTTAGTTATGTAAAATGAAGAGTATTGAACTGTTGGGTTCTAAATTAGTGGTATAAAGGGAATCCGCTCTCTGAAACACATCAAGTTCATAGTGTATTGATCGTACGTTGTTAGGAGGCTCCTAACAAAGCAGAATGAAATATTTGTCCAGTATTTCATTGTTGTCAATAATTTCTAAGCTGACATACGTCAATAAACATAAACACATTCCCATTGAATTTATATACATATTCTAATGGACTTGTAGCGGTGACTAAATCTACGAAATAAAGTTCTGTAAGTCTTCGATATTTATGCCGACCTCATTAGTTTAATTGGAAACACCATAGTTGAAGGCGTTCATTCATGCATCCACACCGGATTATCATTGGGGACGCCGTGATACGCATCCTCACCAACAGCTAGTCATCTTAGATCAAATACTCCTCGACATGTCGTGTACCTTCCAAATATATCTTCGAACTCCTTTATTCATTAAACAAAAAAATGGAATGATGGGAGGGGGTTACATTTAATGATCAAATTTGGTGAATGAGGTACTTATCAAATGCAGTTCCTGAAATAGCTTACGTTTTAAATATTAATGAGCCTTGTTTTACTTTAACCTAATATTTTGTAGAAAAAAAATGTTACACTTAATTGAAAATAAAACACTCCTTTGCTTACCAGTTGTATATCTCTTTTGATACCAATTTATCTATTGAATTGTGACTATAATTATATCTTACAACTTTTTATTAACATAATATACTTGATTATTGTAAGTCATTCATCGGTTAACATTTTGTTTATCATTTCAAGCAATCCTGTGGAATTGGAAGATCTACGAGTTAAATCAGCAATAGCAATATATGCTAATTGAGAAGAAATTTCTTCGCTCGATTCGTTCCTTGTTTATTGACTATCCTTTTATGTTCAGCTTGAGTCGAATGGGTTTCATTTGTTTCGAGAACTGCCAAGTTACATCTTCTCATTCCCGCAGATTTTTATATTAGTCCTGCTAACCCCCCTATTTTTCGGACATTCCATATGTCCATATTAATTGTTGCTCTGATTGTTAGACGGAACATCAGCCCCGAGGAATCTTAGGTTTCACCATGAGGCGTCATAATTCTTCTGAATGAAGATCCTTCAACTAGAAGAGTAGAGTTTAAATGGTTTAATCTGTTTATTCTCGTTAGAGTTTTTCGCAAGGTCGCTTCCTACGGGATGGGGTCGCTGACCTCATGCCAAACCCTCCTCCTTTACCCGGACGTATGACAGGTAGTAACCATAGAAAGGTTCCAGACATAGTTGTGATAGAGTATGGTTTAACTAAATAATATAATTAATTAGGTAATTGAATATCTGGCAGTAAAAAACGCTGTATTATTCACAGATTTCGATAAGGTATTTAACAAATGTACCAGTAAGTCTCTATGTGTGTATTTTCATAAATATGATCTAAACCATATATTATGTTAAAAATCTGACTACGTATATCTAATAGGATGAAGAATAATTGAATTTTGCAACTTGCTTCTACATGTAACATAACTATTTGTAAAGCGATTCGTTGATTTGTTCAACATTTTGGAAATTAAAGCATAAACTAAGTTTATGTGTGATTTGATGACACAATTAATCAATCTTAATTTGAAAACTGAGCTCTGTTACACTCTTTACTTTCTCTCCCATCTGCATATCGAAACGGTAATGTTAACGTGTTGATGAAGGCAATTTTTTTTTAGAGATATTTGCTCAATTAGCAGATATGAAGAGAAATGAAAAACGTAAATGTCATAATAACAGCTTAACTGTCTTTATCCTCCTATTGTCCTCTAATTCCCTGATTATTACGCAACTTCATTTGATATATATATTTTTTAACTTTGATGTGGTTTTCACGTGCTTAAATTGTTGAACATATATATTGTTCTAATTACTTTTAGATTCAAAGCTGTAAAATAATGCCATAGGCAACGAAGTAATTATCCACATCGCTCCATTTGTTTTGCAGATAGCTTCTCTTCTTTAGAGAGAAGAAACAGATTATTTATATTGAACTACAGATTTATATGTTCATAATGAGTCTCTAGATTTGGTTTGGAAATTTGAAGTCAGTTCATTTATTGGGGATTCAGATGATACTTATTTTATTGAATTTGAAACATTTGAAACTTCAGAAGTTTCATTTACTTTTTGTGTGACATTACGTGAAAATATTCCACTATTACATCAAATAAGAATCTTACATACCAAGTATTCATTTTCAAACTTATTTCGATCTGAGTGGATGAATTTTTAAACTGTTATGTGGAATGTAGGTATCATAACCAAGGTTTGACTTGTCGATTTCAAATAAATTGAGAATTAGGCAGATTGCTATAAATAAAAATGAAACATTTATAACATTTCAATGAGTAGAAAAATTGCCCAGAGCAGAGTTCGATGGAGAATGCAGGTGGGTGGTCTATGTTCCTCAACGATGGGTAACAGGCGTAAGTAATTAATTGATGATACATACGTGGACATGAAGGCTGAAGAACCTTTTACGGTTTGGAAGATAAAGCGATATGTCGTCGTTCAGAATTCCGTCAAATCTATAAAGATCATAATTGGGTGACAACAGTAGATGTTATGTGCTTAATAAATGACAATCACACTAAATCAATACCCAATAGAAACTGTATCAAACAGTTATTTTTGTTTAGTGATATTTTGAAATTTGCGATGTCAATATCAGAATATTATTCGGTAAAACGGTAAATTTCTTCTGGAAAATGAATGTTGAAATAGTTTAGCACGACTGGATTCTGTAAACTGAGAAATATATAAGTCGTTCCACTTTACACTTAATTGTTCAGTAGTGTTAAATGAATGAAGAAAATCATCCTAAACGATCATTTTTACTAGCATTTAATAAGAAAGCTTTTCTACAACCCCGTTTCTTTCCTAGATTTCATCCATATCGTCGAGAGCACCATTTGGAGTTATCATTACTAAGTAATTTAGGCTATAACTGACTCTTAATACAATTGCTCAGTAACGTGTTCAGTCATGGTTTGTTCTTCGATGAATTATTAATATATCTTAAGTAGTATTTTTAAACAAACCATATGAACGGCTATAACTGGTCCTACGGTAGGCTCTTTCTTTGTAACAAATTTCAAGGAATTATCTCCTATTCGGAAATTCTCATTGACTCGAAATATTCAAACAAAATCGTTTGATTGCTAGAACGCTGATAAAATGAACAGCCTTTTGAACGCCATAAAAAAAACAATTCAACGTTGTTTTCAGTGGGTTTCTCTTCCTCTAAACTTGAAATTTAGTTTCATGCAGTTGAACGTGTTGATCGGTTCTTTCATCTCAGGATTTTCGCCAGACAAGATGGCCTGCCAACTATAAAATCTCAATAGGTTATATAAAATATATTCTACTCAATACCAACTTATTCCGTCTAAGACTATTATAAGGCGAATAAACTAAGACGTCTTTCTATCTGTGCTACTTTATGGCTGTAAAAACAAGAAGGCATTATCAGGACACTAATATTTCATCGTGTTTTTAGAGAATTCCATAAGTATAGTAGAATCATAGAGTAATCAAAGCTCAGGTTAAGAATGGCCTACCTAACCACAATTTAAACCATATAAAAAACGGTTAACTTTTATTGATTTAATTGATCGAAAAACGGGTTTAATCACCGATAATTCCAACAAACTATACTGGTTAGTATGAATTTAAATCAGAGATTGATTAGGCTTGATTAAACTAACACGTAACAATAATTCATCAATTCACTTATTGATAAGCTTAACCTTATGAAGCAAGACAGAACAAATGATTTTGGTTTTTAAGATTATCATGAACTTTGATCTATAAGATTAGACAACACTTTTAAAATCGGTTATAGTGTTGTAGATTTATTTGTTTCAATCTTTTCTATAAATGTTTAGTTTAATGTCACTTCAGATTAAATTTTAAACCTAAATATTACTAATATTTCTAATTCTAATAAATTGCTTTACATTTTATTGACTTTCCTTTTTCGGGGGGTTTTATCGATTGAAAGTATAACAGATTGTAGTGACATATATATTTGGCTACTTTTAAAAAATAATAATAATAAGGTTTTAGCTTAGAATAACAAATTGAACTACCTATATTTAATCACGTGATGTTAATATACTATCAATTGCATTTCATAGCATACCCTTATAAGATTATTGTTTATATAGAGTTTACATAGGTTAATTACTTATGAATATAAACCACAAAAAAAATATAGAAAAAAAAGGACTATACATAACCCTTGTAATTTCATGTCTTTACTCCAATCAGTAAATGAGTTATAATACGATAAAATGTTTTAAGCCAACTGATTGGCTATACATGATTACTATTATTATCTTCGTTTTTGTTTACTTACAATTGTGAAATTATTATTTCAAAAAAAAAAACAACCATTTATAATAAGTGAATACAATAAACAACAACTGATTGATAAGAAGATGATAATCATATGAAATGAATTAAAAGATTAAATTAAATGTTCACATGTTCTAAACATTTATATATTCGTATCATTTTATTCTTTTTATTATTACATATATTATGGTTATTGATTACATATAAACAATTTCTATCTCAAAAAAATAATGATAAATCAATTTTAATTAATGAACCTTATCAATTATTGATACCACAAACATGTTATAATATTTGTCAATTAATTATAAAATTACCTAAAACTAATTTTATACATTCAAAATTCATTAAAACATCACAAAGATTATGGCCTAATTTCAATGCCAATTTAATGACATTATATAATACAAGTTATTTACATTTACCTGGTGGATCATGGTTATATTATTCAAATAAAACATTTTGTGAAAATATTCCAGAATATGGTGTAGTTATAATTATACCAATAAAAGATCAATTTAAACAACTTTATATTACATTATCTACATTAATTCCAATATTACAAATACAACATTTATGTTATCGTATATTTGTTATTGAACAAATAGATAATGAATTAATGAATAAAGGTAAATTAAAAAATGTTGGATTTATTGAAGCTTTAAAATTATTTAAATTTAATTGTGTTATATTTCATGATGTTAATTTAGCACCAATTAATTATTATAATTCATATCAATGTGATCAATTAACTAAATCTATGGCAATTCATTTAAGTGTTGGAATAAATATTAATAAATTTAAATTACCTTATAATACATATATTGGTGGTGTTTTAAAAATTTCTACACATCATTTTATTACTGTTAATGGATATTCTAATGAATATTGGGGTTTAGATATTGAAAATGATGATGATTTTGAAAAACGTCTTACAATGACTGGTATAAAATATATACATGTAAATGATAGAATTGGACGATATCTTTATATACCATATACTTCACAATATTCATCACAATCGAATAATTTAAAGAAATTATTGAATAGGTCAAATAAAATAATGAATTCTGATGGATTAAATGATGTATCATATAAAGTTATTACAAGATCAGATCTACCATTTTTTACACATCTTCGAGTTCTAATAAGGCAAAGTTGAAACTGTTTTTTTTTAAATTTATTTATAAACAAGTTGATATTTTAAAATAATCCTTAAAATGTTAAATTGTTTTTTCTTGATGAATATGATATAACCTACTATTTTTGCTATTCCTAACTGAAGTGTTATTTAAATAGGAATTTAAATCAATATTCTTATAGACCAGTCATTCATACAAGTACTTCCTAATAAAAAACATCATAAATAATACTTTTATTTTGTAATTGCACATGAAATAAACTAATAATTTGAAATGTCTTCTTATTTATTTTCATTATTACAACCAACATTACTATTTTGGCAGTTTAAAAATCCCCATAGAATATTCAAAAATGAAGAATATTTGAGCGAACAATTGTTTTCAATAACTTCATCATCAGGCTCTACAGTTATAAGTCAATTATAATATTTTACTAAGGCCAAAAATAAGGCATGTTTTAATGAGTTTGACAATGTTAAAATCCAAATTAGTTTTCGCTTTCGTGAGTTTCGCACTATACTTCAGGAACTCATTGAGTCCCTTCAGTGCTATTTTGCTTTAGAATTCTGTTGTCTAAAATCTATTGTTAGTAAATAATACTATCATCCAGACAATTTTAGGAGTACGAATTCCAAACACTACATATTTCGTTGAATAAAAATTAAAAATAATTCATCTAAGTAAACTTTCTTTTGACGAAATCTTTAACTTCAGCTGTACATTCGTATTTATAGTTATATGGGCTAGATTTCTTTTTGTTAAAAGGTAACCGTGATAGACTATCATTTTAAATATTAGAAACTTAAAAAGAGTAAATTCCGAATACCGAATATGATTAATATGATTGAACTGTGTTAATAAATGAAAAAAATTATTAATTTTCGATAAGTCAGAATTATAATTTTTCACTTCAAAAAGAAACCCTTAGAAGCAATCGACTCTTTCTGTCATGATTATAAAGGATTTGAATTATTCTTTTGTTGATAATCTTCATGGAATTTTATCTGATGAATCTTTGTTAGTATATGCACATATTGTGTGGATTGCTTTCGATCTTGACATATTTTCTTAGAAAATGAACCGATAACTTCAAGAACTGAATAAAAATTATTCTTCATGAATATTTATTGTACAAAATAGAATATCATTAAGCGACCGGTAATTTATTTATTAAAAAAATCTTTTTCCACCCCTTTAAAAAAGTTTTTCATCCCATTATTCAAAATTTTTATCCCGTTTCGTCCAATTAAATGGCTAGTTTTAAATTCGTTCTAATCGGTTAGTCATGCCTTGAAATTGTTATAAAAATGCCAGTACTTGTCGACAAAGTACATTTTAATCATCATTATGGAGGAGAGTAACGTTCCATGTACAAGCGCTGTTGTTTCTTACGTTGTCACAGAAACGGAGAACGAATTTTCTCGTAGCGTTCCAATCAGTTGAAGCGTTTAGGTCCTCCATCAGAACTTAGGAAGGACCTATGTACTGTCATTATGTGGGGAGAGATCCTCATTTGGACAGAAATCAGAACTCATATATTAAATTTGTATATTGAAGAAATGGCCGTAGAAGATCTAGCGGTTCGTCACAGCGGATAAGACGAAGGAGGTAATTTGATCAGTGTTATTACATTTTTTTTCAAGAAAGGCTTTCATGAACACTCAATGTTCGGCCTTCATGTTTTGTAAGTTGATAGAAGGTTACTGGACTGTTGTACGTGAGAATGTGCGTTACAATCAAGAGTGCAATTCCCTGAGGTACGACGGTAATTCTTGAGTGAGCAGGTTAACGGATGCAGAGTTTGAAACTGTGCGACCGCTCCTGATATCTGGGACCGCAGCATTCGATATTAAGCACTTTGCTTACCATTCTTATGGAAAGCGTTTGAATGATCAAGATATATTTAATAGGAACGACTTACAGCAGCTAAGTCGGCATTAATAAGAGATCGAGTAAAGGCCCTTTTCAGGGCCACCCACGATTTGATTTACATCATTTTGTTTCTAACTCTTATTTCTATAGCAAAGGTCAAGTAATGAAGCAATTATTGATGTCTAATGAATTTTGATATCGCTTAGAGACTAATAATCGAAAAGCGATTATCGCTCATGTAGTCGTAAACATTTTTATAACCTTTATGAGATATAAAGGTTAAGAAATCTTATACAAGAATTTGTCACCTAATGAGCACTAATCTAGTGGTCTAGTGGTTAAGTGCTCGCGCGCGAAGCCAGTAGGTCCTGGGTTCGAGCCCCGCGTGGTGCGGGATCGTGGATGCGGACTGCTGAGGAGTCCCATACCAGGACGAAACGGCCGTCCAGTGCTTCCAAGTTTTCAATGGTGGTCTAGCTTCAACTGACTCATGATTTCAACCTGTGAAATTTCTAAATTTTTCCTCAAAACCCATTCTGATACTAATCTTATAACTATCAGAACGGGTTTGTGGAGATTTTAAAAACTTCACAGATTGAAATCATGAGTCAGTTGAAGCTAGACCACCATGGAAAACCTGTAAGCACTGGACGGCCGTTTCGTCCTAGTATGGGATTCCCCAGCAGTGCGCATCCACGATCCCGCACCCCGCGGGAGAAAGAATAAGAAAAATTGTCGTGTTATTCTAGGCCATAGAATGGCTTAAGGATTACATGGTAACCTCAAGGTTAAGACAAACTTGTCATTGTACACATAAGGACAAGGTATGAAAAAATCATGAAGAGTAAATGTAGAGGCACTTTAAATAAGTTGAAAGCTGAAACGGCCAAATTGCTACAGAATTTAAAGCCCAAACTAGGATCATCTTTATGGTTCTTTTTATATCCAAAAAGCAATAACCCGTGTAGATTTTATGGCCTACCAAAAATACGCAAAACAGATGTACCACTAAGACCTGTGATTGATTACATTAATTCACCAACTTATAATCTTTCTAGATACTTGGCCAAAATTCTTAAACCATATGAAAGCGTAATAAAATATGGAATAAAAAATTCTAATGATTTCAAAAACATTGTCAGTAATATTCGGATAGAAGAGGATGAAATAATGGCAAGTTTTGATGTTTGCTCATTGTTCACTAACGTTACTGTTAAAAAAGCTTTAGATATTGTGTATAACCTGTTAGATTCTGACACTGATCTTAAACAGCACTGCCTTCTAGACCCCTCAGACATTATTAGAGCGTTGGAGCTTTGCTTACATTCGACGGTTTTCATTTTTCGAGCAGTCCTGTACAGACAAACAGGTGTGGCTATGGGATCACCTGTCTCTCCAATTGTGGCTAATTTATTCATGCATTCACTGGAAACAATTGCTATCTCAATCTGTCCCATTCCACCAAAAATTTGGGTAAGATACGTGGATGATACCTTTGTCATTATAAAACGAGATGGTTTAGACGAACTATTCCAACGGTTCAACAGCTTAGATGACAAAATCAAGTTTACTAAAGAGTTGGAATCGCCTGAACGCAGATTACCTTTTCTGGACTGCCTTGTTGAAAGGAAGGATAATGATTGTTTAAAAATTAATATATTCCGAAAGCCTACATATTCAGGGAAATTTTTAGATTTTAAGTCTGCGCATCCACGCTCGACCAAAGTGACAGTCGCCAAAAATTTGATCACCAGAGTCAAAAAATTTGTCACTGAACCGAATGATATAAAAATGAAAATGAATTTAGTTGTATCCACTCTATTAATGAATAATTATCCGAAAGGTTTTATTAAAAGAATAATTAAGAATGAAGAACGGAATGATATTTTTTTAAAAAGAGTTAAGCAAGATTGGATGAACACAGTAGTGATCGCATATCGTAAAGGTATCTCAGAAGACATCAGAAAGATTTTGACTCGTCAAAATATAAGAGTATTCTTTCGAACAAACAATACTCTAAGATCAAAACTAGTAAGAATCAAAGATCCAATACACAAGGATGATCAACAGAATTGCGTTTATGAAATCAAATGTAATGACTGTAATGCAACGTATGTAGGTGAAACATCTAGGCAACGGAATGTGAGGGTGAAGGAACACAAACTGTGCTTAAAGCACATTCCTAAATCCTCAATTGATGTAAAAAAGCTTGAGAACAGATCAGTGATAGCATTACACTCGATTGAATCGGGTCATACAGCCGATTTCAATGGCACGAGAATCATTCAAAAAGGATTCAATTCTTACAAAGAACCACTAACAGCCGAAGCCCTACATATATGGGCTAATTCAAACAATATTAATAGGAGAGATGGAATACAACTAGCTGTCCCATGGCAACTAATAATTAATAAGTAAACCTGATCTCCTTTTTGCAGTTTGATATATCTATGCCATAGTAACTAACTGATAGATAATACGTTCAATGATTCAAATCCGTTATCTTATCTGAATATGTTAAACAATTGACTGGAACATTAAAATAACACACACCTTCAATTACATATACATTCCTCTTTTATTTTGTTTACTTATCCTATTTATCTTCATCTAATGCAGGCTGTGGCATTTTTGATTCATTTGATATACAAAATGATCTGTTTTCTTAATATACACAGACCGAAGTCAATATTTAGTTGAATGAAATTTCTTCTCACATCACTTGCGTATAAACACATTCTGTTGTCTTAACATGTTTTTGGTTCCATAATCACATACCTTGTCCTTATGTGTACAATGACAAGTTTGTCTTAACCTTGAATTTACCTTGTAATCCTTAAGCCATTCTATGGCCTAGAATAGCACGACAATTTTTCTTATTCATTCTCTACCCTTGGTTATTTTCAAATGAACTTTTATTTGTTTGACCTTTATTATTTTTCTTATGTCTCGATAATGCAATGAGAAGACGTAGTTTATCAGAATCATGTGGTATATTTGCGCAATACATTTCGAACAATCTGATCACACATATACTTGTTAAGAACATTTATATATGAAAAATTAAAAGGTCAACTAGACAGGTTAAGGGTAAGTCATAACAAAGAAAAAATATTAAAGTACACAAAAACAAATGTGATTACCACTC